ATTAATTTCTAATTTGGGGGTGACGTTCGTATCTCTGTTTTGTGTGGATTACATGTTAATAGTACACCCTCCCTTCCAGTACCTGGCACTCGTGGATTCCTCCGGTGACGTAACTAATGAGCGACCTTATTTGGTTTTATGCACGCCTGCCGCTATATTATGTACCTACGTAAGGATAAAGTGGTTCTTATCTTGGCTAACGTAAAATGGGTTATTATCTTAGCTATTGTCTTGAATCGTTTGTATCTAGTATAAGTGGAATCAATGTCGATTTTTCTTGTCCCTTTCACGAATCACGTGATCGATGATGTTTCCGAGGACATCTCAGAATTTTCAATTATTTCGTGGAATTTGGACTTAATTTAATCGATTAATTTAATTCGCGTTGTGAGATTTTAATTTTTGGAAGATTTTTCAAATACATTTCAGAACATATAAAAATTTTCAAATTTAATTTTAGATAAAAAAGATTAATTAAAATTTTTCCGACTTGAAATACGTATAGCTCGATAATAGTATATTAAGATGAACTGAAATTTTTTGAGTTCATACCCAAACCTGTACCGAAATAGTCGAAGTAGGTATTCGTCAAGCAGTCTGTTGCTTTAGATAATGGAAAATAGTATAAGGATATATCTAAAAATACCCATGGGCACAAAAAACGTTTATGGGTTTTATTTTTGCAGTAAAATATTTAAACAAGAAAAACTAAATACAGTTAAAAAATGCATCAAATTCATGTCTTGGTCATTAAGATAATGCTCTTGGTCTTTTTTCCAACGATCTTGGTGTAAGTATAAATAACGTTTTTGACATTCTAGTGAGTTACAGAAATTTTCATTTTAATCATACACCGGAGTTCGTTCTTAAACATACACAAACCAACGAATAAAATCTGCATATCCGTAAAATTCTTGTGAGACAGAAAATTTCAGAAAAGTTCAACACAACCGTAAAACGTCTCATAAACGTGTAAGACAGATGGACGCCCAAGATTGATTGTTTTATTTCATTTAATAATACATTTAAATTGTATGAAATGTGCAGGTGTATTATTTTATGGAATTATATGGTATTGCAAAATTGTTGGATAAAGCTGACTAGGTGTGTTAAAAGTAATGTGTTTGATAAAAGAACAATTGATACCATGTTGTTTACGTTAATATGGGTGTTTTTAACTTCGTAACAGCGCGAACACTCGGTATTGGCATTTCATTTTCATGTTTGGTCATTTGTTCAAGTGGAAGTTAACGAATTGTTTGATGTTCATAGAGACTTGTAACGAAGCACCTATTTTTCGCCTTGACGTTTCATATCCGAAGTTATGCATCGTATATTTGTGGAGCCGGTATCTAGAAGCAAGCGTTTTAAGTTGTGGGCATCTTTACAAAAAGTGTCGCGCCGAAAGTATTTGTGTTGGTTCTAGGAATTGAAGATAGAAGGTAAAGGTATTTGATTTAATTTCTATAGTTGTGTTTCGGCCGCCGCTACCGTTAATAAAGCTGCAATTAATTCACCGTTTGCAACCGTTCCCGTTAGGGTATTTCAATTGTCTTTGTCGCGTCCGAAAGTTCTTGTCATTTAGAAGACGAGGCAAATTAATATTTTAGAATTTCAGCCATGTTAAGCCACTATTAGCAGGGTTTTGTTTCTATGGTAAATTAAAACGAGCATTAAAACCGCAAGGTCATGCGCTGATATCAATTACAAATTTTTCAGCAAGCCGCACAATTAATTAAAAAAGCTGGAAAACCGTCGATCTCTCCATGCCATAGCCGAATTGTACTCGTATAAAAGGCAAAGCAGTTGTTTAGACGGGATCATTATACCTTTTGTATTTTTAGACGACGTTCGTAAGTACCGTAATTTTTGAGATTTTTCGTAAATTTACTTTACTTACTGGAAACCGTACCTTATTTAAATCAGCGATCGCTTTTGGTGTTTAGCCGAATAGCAAGTTGATCCATAGATATAAACAACAGATTGCGATCCTTATGTATTGCATTGGTCATTTAGGCATACTTAAAAGCGCCCTCTATTAAGTAATAGTATAAACAAGTAGCGTGTAAACATGTAAAATGACGCTAATGGATTTATTCATTAAATGTGGCTGCAAAAAATTTAACGCGCTAAAGTTGGCACAATTCGAATTCCTTATTATTGGTATTATTACAGCGATATGATATGATAGGAGCTAAACTGAGCTTTTGCTGCAAAATCTAATGCATAAATCCATAAGCGTAATTTTACAGTTTTGGAATGTACATGTTTATACTGCTGCTTATTAGATGGCGCTTTTAAATATACCTGAATGCAATGAAATGCATAAGGTTAGCAACCTGTTGCTTGTGTATTGTATCTGTGGTTGATTTTTCTGCGTTTTGCACTTTCGTTAGCTACGTTTTGTAAGTAGGTACCGTAATTTTGAGTTTTCCGTAAATGTATTTTGCATTCACACGTTTAGTTTTTGCTTTTACATTAAATTTACCGCACCGTGTCTACAACTGTTACTTTTTCTTGCACAGTAATTTCTACTGCTCGGCTTAATTGCAAGGTAGTTTGTTGTGACTTTACGTTTCATTGATTATAGGGGGGGATATTGTTTCGCTTTCCTGTATTTACTTTCTCGTATATACCGCTACCGAATCCGATTATTTACTGTTCCCACTTAAGATATTTACTGTGCACTTTAATTTTGTTTTACAATCACCAGTAGCCGGCCGCCACTTGCTCTTTAGAATTCGTGGAGCTGCCGTTTGAGTTTGTCCGAGGCTTCCAAGACCGATCCGCCAAACCGCTGCAACCTCCGACCTTGACTATGGGCAAGGCCGTACCCTTGGTGGCGCTCGAGTCCACCGTCCGCCAAACAGAACACCCATGCTACCGCCGACTGCCGCTACTTTCGTCTACTCACATGATTTAGTGACTATAATTTGTACATTTATTTATTTTTGTTGTAAATTAATTTATAAACATTATTCCACTACTGTTTATTTAATTTATCATGCCATTTGTGCACGGACAAAGTTCGTCGCATACTTTCGCCGTAAAGCAACAAGCCTAGGGATGGGAATAACTGTAACTAAACTCGTTGCGAATCCAACTCCGGTTAATCTCGAAGCTCATCTTTACGGCGTTGATACCTTGAATGAAAGGGTAGCTACCAACCCGCGACCATGTGACTTTTCTCCTACCAAACTCCAGGCCATTACGTTGCTTCCATCTGTAACGTTTTTTTAAATGTTTATAATCCTTTTAGTAACCGTTGCGCTATCTAGATATTTCTCGTGAAAATGCCTTGTAGTTAGTTTTGTTGGCAACACTTTTCATATTCTACCGCTAGAGGTAGAGGTCATACAAATTTACTATTCACTTTTAATTTAAGTCACTGTACTATTCACTACCTGTACTGTAGAACAGAGTCGATTGTTACTTGTGAAAGAACATGCCGCCATTATGTGTGCTGTGGCCATTTTGGAATCTTATACTTTGGTAAAATTCCATCGTGTAGTTTGCTGATATATTTCTACAAATTAAGCTGTTTACGGTATGTGCTAGCAATTGCGTAATAACCATGACATACTGATTTTAGGCTTTTATTTTCTGGTTTATTCTCTTTTCTTCATGTTACTTCGTGGTTGTCTACCTGATTATTGTTATCTACATCGAAATCCTTTGACGAAACACCGATTTACCCAAAATTAGGATTAGGTACATCACCGCTTACCGACGGCTCGTTGTCGATCAACATTTTGCTTTTGCTAGTTTAAAATCATTTGAATTATTGCTTTTCGTTAGGTGTTGATTACAACTTCAGTATTCGAGTTGCTCGACGTGACAAACGTTAGATTTTTCTCACACTTTATATGCTCCTCTGTTTGTTTAGTGTTTTTACCTGATCGCAAATTATTGGCAGAAAGCGCCCTTCTGAATTCAGACGGCCGTCGCCAAGATTCAATGGTAATTTCGTCGAAGCTACGTGAAATGACGTTTGTGCATAAGGTTTTCCATAGGCCCAAATTGTAATTAGTATATTTTTTTTGTGTTGCGGAAGTATATTTCGATAAGTATCTTCTGACTACGAGTTTTTGTAAATTACCTACTTTTGAATTTAAATTTACACCCATCTCTACTTTGCCTGAGGTCATTATTATGGAATTAAAATGTGGACTAATTTTAGAGTGATGTATAGGTACACGTTCATCCAACAATCGTAAATTAATTTTTGGCTGCTTTATTGAAATGCCAAACGCTTGAACGATTTGCTTTCATACGTTCCCGCATTCAAGCTGGCTCTGTTCTAGGTACAAGATATGATGCGAGTAAATCAATATTGCAAATAATAGCCTTTGTTTTGCGTTAAAAGATAAGGTACGTTAAACTGTACAAACAATCTACTTTGGAATAATGTTTGCCTATTTGATATCAAATGGGGAGCACAAGAAAACGAGGCGTGTAATTCTAATTACTGTTTGACTTCACGATTTGTGTGTACACTTGTAATGCTTTTAGCTATAGATAAAAGGATTTTTTGGTCTTTTTAGCATTGGAAATGCTTATGTTTTGTATGGGTATGAAGTTACCGGTTTAGTCAAACAGAAAAGAAGACAGTGGTGTCGCGTCAAGTGTTGATTGTACCGTACTCGACCGCAATCGGTAGATGCACGAAAAGTCGCGGATATTGTCGATATGGTACTTAGTTAACAGTGCGCAAGGGTTTTGTTAATTCGAATCTAAAAAAGGATTGCGAAATCTGTGAAATTTAGGTTAGAGCAGCCAATCGGGCGTGCTTTAGGTAATTAGATAAATATGGAAACTCGCACCTTCTGAGTAGGCAAATAGATAAACATTAGTTTCTCAAGCAGAAACCTCCCTTGTTTAAATTCTGTATAATCGATAATATCCACAACTCCCTGGGATTGTTCTCCTTATTCCTTGCGTGAAGGAAATACATTTCCACTTGACTAGTCACGACGACATTTATTGAAAATATTCATTACCTGTTGTGAAAGTTTGGTCATGTCGACGGGAGTAACCCGTTTGAGAGCCGAGAGCCTCTCGAGTCGCTCCCGCGCTTGTTGTTCCACAGCAATAACGAACGCATCTTGGACACTGCTCGAACACAAATCCAAGTCCACTGCTGCAAGAAAGAAAAGAGAAAGCGTTAGTTCATGACAATGTTGGGAATATTAACGATATTTCATCTTCCGAAAGCAAACAGTTTCGCGGATGTATAATCAGCGGGAAACTTTCGCCATTCGACGCTCTCGATTGTATCAAAGATGTTTATTATCAAACAAATGTCAATTCAACCCTCCGAACTTTAGAAACTTTACGGAAACGGTCGATTCTGATTATTTACATTTTAAAGCCGCTATTTGCAAATGGAGTCAACTTGGAAAATTAGAAAGAAAGTAAGCGTGGCGTAGATTGTTTTGTTTTTACTTTAAAATCGAATTAATCAAATCAAAACAACGCATAGCAACATTTATAATAATACATACACATCAACGGCAAGAATGGCATTTGATTTGATCAAAAAAGATATGGCCAGGCAAATGGTGCCTAGGCTGGTCACATCTCCAGCCCCACCGTTTTTTTCGATTTTGTACGTAGGCAAGCGGTCCTGAAATACGGTCTGACTGTTTAAATGCGTTTGAAAGCTGCCGGCGCCGGTGAGTCGTGGGATGTGGTGGGAAGTTGGTTGTTCGGGGAGGACCGTCAGGTATTGCGCGTTGAGCGGTGAGCGAAGTTAAGTCGCCCACCCGTAGGTTACCTTAGGGTGGATTTTATTTTGTCTCGCGGCAAACTGCAAGAGAAAAGTAGCATGAAGCGGTCAGTGCGGTTAAGTCGCCCTCCTCTAAGTGACTGCAGATCGCATTTTATGTTATTTGAATAAGCGTGCAGTTAATCCGGTCACCTGTAATTTACCGTAGGGTGGATTTTATTGTGTGTTATTTGATTTCCGACGAGCCGCCAGCGCAGTTAAGCCAGCCACCGCAGAATGTTTCCATATATTAGGGCGACAAGCTAATAACCGAGAGTATTTGCGGAAAAAATTGCGTGCGCCTACGGTAGCGAAGTATAAACGCATGACATTTTAAACGGGTCATTTAAAATTTGCTGACCCTAAAATTCAAAGGATAACTTGTGAGTTAGAAACTATTACAATAAATACGAACAATAACGGAAGTTTTTAAACCGGCGAAATTAAATTCTGTGACCCTGAAAACTAGAAAAATGGACTAGGGAGAATTGATGATCCTTACGCAAAATCAACTGTCATGGTGGTTTTCGGGAAACGGTAATTGATTCCTTCTTCCTGCCATACTCCCAAGACCACCCGGTATTACGCTCTCCCCCAAAATGATTACGACAATGAGTATGGTTATAATTATTTTGTAGGGAGTGTCATGAAATTTTTCATTTTTGGGACATACACGAAAGTTCTAAGGGCTGAACGTTTTGGGAGAGAATGTAGCTTTGCTTAAGGGACACTTTATAACCCTATCTCAAAATTGTCATGATAGTTTTGGGAAAAAGATAATTGTTTCCTTCTGTGTGTTCCATACCGCCCTAATTTGTATGTATTTGTATACGCTCCACTATTTTTCATTAAACTGTATAGACTTCGACGATAGGCGGCTTATTTGAAAGAGAATGGGGTAAGGATCTCGTGCCTACCGGTATTTTTTCCTGGTCCTAGCATTAATATTATTAGGAGGAAAATACGCTCTCGTCATTTATGTTTGCATATTGACTTTTTAAACTTGTTATTTCTTGGTAATGGAACGATTTGCACCTTAAATGCGGAGATGTTCCAGATTGGGGAACTGGGACCGTGAATGGATATTATTGTTATTGCATGTATTCTGCGGTTACAATATCAGCATTTTTCAGATAAGTCAAAGATTATAGGATACATATTGTTATCCGATTTATTGTTATCATTGAACATAATTGCACGTGTTTTACCGGTACATTTGCTTTAATGTGAGAAGTTTCGACAAATTACGTAAATTCCTTCCACACAGAAACATTTCTAGGTCAACAAGGTAAATACACACATCTAAGGCGAGAAAAATTCCAAACAGTGTTTAGCATTCACAGATACGTATTAATGCTCAAAAGTTTCCCAAGATTTATTCTCGTATTATGTAAATTTAATCGCATCTTCGAAAAAAATATCTTATTATTATGCGAGAAGTTTAACAAGAAAAAATAAAGTTACGAAAGACACTTTTAAGAATACGCCGTTTTCTTTCTATGCTCGTTATAGGCAACGATTTTAATTATAGGAGGAAACTAAATGTAATTTAAACGTAATTGGCACTCCAATTTCGAGATGCTCCAATTATGCCTTAGCTTAGAGCGATATAGAATTACGACCACAATTACCCTAAACCATTCTATTACCGGTGCATGTAAGAACAAAAATTCTAGGAGGAGCGTTACAGCGTTTGGAGATACAATAAACCTTGAATTGATATTCCGGAATTTAAAGCTGTAATTATAAGCAACGTAAGTACTTAATTTTCTATTATAAAAGTTGGCAATAAAAAACCTAAACATTAATTAACATAATTTTTGAGGTGGGATGACGTTGACTGCCAAGTCCATTGTATACTTTGCTAAGTCATGATCGTACGAGGGCGGTTTTTATGTTCTACACCTGGCCATGAAACGAGAAGACGCACAATTTAGCCTTTTTTGCTCTTAAACATGTACCTACTTCGATTAGTTATCTTTAAGATGGATCAAAACGATAACACTCTGTATAGACAATGTCGAGAGTGAACCATCAAAGGTGATCGTCCATCTCATGGCTGTCTTTGAACAATCTGGAACCTTTATGACATTTTTTTTTCCGTTGGAAGCAGGAGATGTCGCAACGAACATTTGTACCCCTCCTAAAATCAGCAAAATAAATGTTTTCGCCCTCATTGGCTAGTGGGAGTGCAGGCATTAGGATACTCGTCCTGTGATGTACACGCTATTTTTTGCACTTTCATAATAGTTACAGCAATATTTAAAGGAAACAACTTTGTTTGATTGTAGAATCAAGATACCTTGTAATGTTATTCATGTTAGGGTATAATAGAAAATATCAGTTTAAGATTTTTGTTAATGCAGATGTGATTATTTAAAACGCCCCCGAGGAAGCTATGCCTCTCAAATCCAAAAAATTATCAAAGTCCTCGTGTGACGAAGGGACTTCAGCGCATTTTTGTGTGGCAGATCAGTATTCAATTAGCCACTTTTGACTCAACCATCAATAAAAGATATTGTCCAAGGCTACTACATTCACTTTGTCGGTACCCGCCTCCCACTTTCCGCGTGCACCCGCAATTAGCGTTTAAAGTTTTGACTCCACCATCAGTAAAATCTTGTCGGGGGCTACCATATTCCCTTTGTCGGTATCCACTTCCGATGTCCCGTTCCCTTCCAATGCGCGTTTGAAGATTTGACTCCACCATCAGTAAGATCGTGTCAGGGGCTACCACATTCCCTTTGACGGTACCCACTTCCGACGTCCCGTTCACCCGCAATTCGCGTTTGAAGATTTGACTCCACTATCAGGAAGATCGTGTCCGGGGCTACCACATTCCCTTTGACGGTACCCACATCCGACGCCCCGTTCACCCCAAATTCGCGTTTGAAGTTTTCACTCCACCATCAGTTAGATTTTGTCGGATGCTATCACATTACCTCTTTCGGTGCATACTTATATTACACCCACATTTTGGTGAATTTCGCTAAAAACCTTCCACAAGATAGTACTTAATTTTTGGGGCACTTCTTATTACTCGAGCTTCTATTGGCGACACGAAAAAGAGAGACAGCGATTCGAGATTTACGAAACGTTAAACCGCGTGACAAAATTCGCAACGGAAGGTAAAAGGCGCCCGAAGTTTACTACCTCTCGAAGACGCGCGCGCGCGCCTTGAAAATGGTCGTTAATTTCGCCCCTAGGACAAACAAGTTTTCAAGCGGCGTTAGTTATTTCGCAAATTCTAATTAAACGCAACCACTACGGGCTTAATGAATGTCCATTGCGCCAATAACTCGACAAGACGGAGATAATGCAAAAAACCGGACCTCTCTACGATGTCTAGATCAAAAGTTTTTCAATCCGCCCAGCCAGCCAGCCAGCCGGACAAAGTGAAATGATAAGCTCCTTTTTGTTACCAAAAATGCGCTAAAAACAAGTTTACGGTTAATGTTCAAATTTTCTTACATTTCATTGTGTACTGCTGGGAAAAAAGTGACACTTTAGTCCCGTATTTCTTAATAATCGTATGCATATAGGATGCACTGCTACACTTAAATCAGAATGAGTTCACTAACTGAAGCTTTAATATGACGACAATTATACAATCCAATTCCTTCAAGAAATTAAAGAACATTTGCCAATTAAGTTCAGTTGAATTACCCATAAAAATAGGAAACTAAAATTTTCTTTGCAAATTACCGCAACGATTTACAGTTTCTTTCGTACAGGAATTATATCAGAAGGTCTGAAGTTTCGTACCCGAAGTTATGACCACACCGTATATTTGTCGAGCCGACAGCTTTACTGAACACCCGGTATCTAGAAGCGTTTTAAGTTTGGCGCTTCGTTACTAAGAAGTTTCTGAATTTACTTATTTGCTCTTGGGGACGAGGAGTGAGTTTTCTGTGTTTTCATTTTGTTTTCCCCTGATAGTGCACGTGAGTTAAGCAGTGAATTATTAGTTTTGCAACCTTTCCTCTAGGAATATGTAAATTGCTTTAGCACCACCGAAACCTCTTTTGCCAGTTTTAGGTCCGTTAATTACCGATTAATAAATTTTAGTTTTCTAATGGTATACCAAAAACCAAGAAATTTCAGTTACTCCCTACCCGAAATGGACGTTTCGACAATTAGAAAACGCACTATGAATTTGGATCTTTTTGCTTTTGCATCTTCAGCGCTACGTTTTGTAAGTACCGAAATTTTGAGCTTTACCGTAATTTTTCTTTTGCAACCGTAACGTATTTCCTTTTCTTCTTTTCTTTTTGCTTTTGGCGTTTACCCGAATAGTAAATAAATCTTTTCGCTTTTGCATTTTTGCCTATTATATTTGTAAGTACCGTATTAATCTTTATCACTGCCATAAATTCA